TGAGGTAGTGAGAAGTGCCATCATTGATATTACAAGGAATAAGCTAATAATAAAAACTCCAATCAGTTGGGTTCTCTTTCGTAAAGTTCTTCAGGCATTAGAAGAAAATATTGTCAGTCTATCCCTTGCTATGGAGGTTGGCCGCGCTTGCAATATTCCTCTAGAAGATGTACCTCAGGTTCTCTTATTCTATCATGATTTGGGATCTGTTCTATATTATCCTCAACTAGAAGGTCTGAGAGAGAAAGTCACAGTTGATCCAAAGTTCTTTATCGATGCTCTTGGAAAGATCTTCACATTTCAAGCTAGCACTACACATGTCAGGGAGTGGGAGATATTTCATCAATATGGTATCCTCACACAACCACTGTACACATCAGTCTGGAAGGAATGTGGAGACCTAAAGCCTGAAGATTTCATTGAAGTATTGTTACACTTTCGCCTTGCTGCTCAAGTTGAGGAAGATCAAATCTGTTCCTCACGATACAAACAATATTTCATTCCTGCCATTCTCAAGCTGTGTCAAGATAGCACCATAGCTACACACAGCAAGAAGCTTGAGACTGCATCGCCACTTCATATTAGATTTGAAACTGGTTTTGTTCCTCCTGGTTTTTTCACTCGTTTTGTTGCTGTTCTAGCTGCTCACCCAAGCACAACCCTGTACCTTGAGGAAGGAGTGTATAGGAATCGTGTTACCTTTCGTTACCAGGAGGAAAGGAATAGAAGCATTGAACATTTAACAGTAACAGATCAACATGATGCAATTCAGATCAATGTCCATCGTGCTACCTCTCGTTCTGATCCAGTTCCTCTTGCCAATGTATGTCAAGTTATCTTAGTTCTGTTTGAAGATTCCGCTAAAGAAGTGGAGAACATTCTTCGAAATTGCATTGGAAGAGGTTTTGAAGAATTACCCAAATATTCTGTTTCAAGATCACTGCATTACGTCTGTGATGGCTGTGACCCTGTCTCTTCTAAGCTTCATTATCTCACACCAGCAAAGTATCAAACCAGTGACCTGGAGGTTACTTGTAAAGTAAACAGAACATATCGACCACTTACAGAGAAAGAAAAGATTTGGTTTACTGAAAAAGTAATTATTGTGCATTGCCTTTGTATTATAACATCATTGTGTTATCTCCATTAGGTGTCATTGAAAGAGGAGGATCAGTTACATAAAGCCATTATACCTGATTCAGTATCATTTACTACTCAAAAATCTGTCAGTATTATACGCTATTTTATCTATTTAACATAAATATTTTAGGACCAGACTAGTAGGAAAAAGCCAATTGGCATATTTGATTCACATTTACCTGAACTCTGTGATGCTATGGCCACAGACCATGTTATTATAAGAGCACCAATGTATTTCATAAATGACATCAGTAAGCCTGTATTTGATAAAGTTAGAACCCCTGCTATTCCTCCATATGAGAGAGCACAGGCATTTCTGATGGAATTACGACGTCACCTCGAAGCATCCAGTGACCAGCGCCAGTATCTACTTAATCTAATTAGCATATTCCACAAAATTAATGATCCAATATTGTCCAAGATAGCTGA